CGGCATCGCCAACGCAGAGGTGCCACATATGTGCGAGGACGACTCGATGACCATGCTGACTTCTGACGCGGTGAGGGCGCGGCAAAAACACCTGCGAAAGCAAAAGTGCATCGCGCCTCCCCAGAGGCGAGAGCAGCCCATGAAGGCCGGCATTATCCCCCGCAGTCCAAAGACAAGGGCGTAGTACACGTGAGCGCGAAGGCTCGGGCGATGGACCTGGTCTGAAACAAGATCTGAATATTAAGCACAACAACGTGGATGCATGAGCTGGCTCATCGCAGGGGCGACGCCCACAACGACATGGGCATGATAGGCATTCATAAGAGCATCAAACGCTGGCGCGGGTCCAAGACTGCAGCTAGATCATGAGAGACGACGCAGCATGCAAGGGCACGCAAGCATGCGAACATTGACATGATGAAAACCAATTAGTTCATGGGACAGACAGATCTTGCGCCATTCCGCGAACGGGGCGCAAGTCATGAAATGGCCGGCCCCCGTTGGTTTATGAAAGCTCATCATCGCCCTGGGGCCTGGCTTGACCTGGCACCGTGGGTTTATCTTGCCTCCTCCGCGGCGTCCGCCCCAGGCAACCCTCTACAGCTTAAGACCGAGGTGTCCCAGAGGAGAGGGCGCAACGGCGGGCGGGGCAGCCGAAAGCGACGAACGCTATTCACAGAAATCGGTCCGCCACGTTTCCGCGTACTTCAATTCAAAAGTGTAAAAATGAGCCGTCAAGGAGGCCTGTTGATCAACTATATTTCTGCCTTGGGCTGTCAGCCGCACGTCTTGCGCATCGAAGCGCCGACCACCCTCCGAGTGTTGTTGAGCGCGTTGGCTTTTGAGCGCAACCATTCGAACTCTCACCGTGCTCAGTTCCGTCGACTGGCCACTGCGCGTTGAGCAGGGGCCGACCGCCCCGGAATTCCTATAGCCCTACCGCGAAGTGTTCTTACCACCCAAAACTGTTCTAGTAACAAAAACAACGTTCTTAGTACACAAGCCCGCTGTGTTCAATCAAGACAATCTCCGCCATGCACTTTCTAGGAACATTTCGTGGGTACCACAAAAGGTTCTTGGAACATTGTTTGGTGGGGCTATAGGCGAGCCAGGACGCTTCGCCACTGCTCGATGCGCAGCCGGCGCAGCAGAGGGGCCCGGCTGGCCGCCATCACGGGGGGCCGCCTGGGTCCACGGGTCATCGCCCCCCGCCCGAGGGCCCTGGGCACCGCGCTCGGGAGCTGGAATGGTGGGCCGGGCGACGCCGGCATGATCGCCTCATCTTATCTTTACCCCAGAACTTACGAACAGTCGCGCCCACCCCTTCGAGTGGACCAACGCTGAGCTGGCATCCGACCGTCCAAGCAAGGGGTTCAACGCATCCACCTTGAAGCGCCGCGCCCCCCCTCGGAGCCGCGTGCCTTGCGGAGGGAGGGCGGCTTTGATCGCCCAGCCGTCCTGATGGTCACCCTGACCCTTCCACTGTGTGGCAGCGCCCTGAAGCTGAAGCCGGCTGCAATCAGGGCCGAGGCCTTCCGCGACCCACGACCGACCGACGACGACCGACCGACCGACGACCGACCGACCGACGACGAAGCTGTGGGACGAGCGCCTGGATGGAGGGCGTCGTAAGCCACTTCGACCTCACATAGAGGGGGGCGGTAGCCGAGGCCGCCCTCCGACCGAGCAACACCCTTGTTTCCTTTCAAATCCAACTGCACCACGGCGTCTCGCAGCCACTCAAGGCCATCGGCCGCGGACCCCCCCAGAGGAAGCAACGCGATGATTCCCCCTTAACCGCTGGAATCAGCAATCGAGTCAACGCGATCTGGGCGAACCCCTAAGCGGAGCTTGATCAGAGTGCTAAAAGCCTGCGCAGCATCTCTCCCTGCAGGAAGACGCCGCGCGTCGAGGACGGGAAACCGCGCGCCACTCGAGGGGCTGAAATTCTGGAACAAAGAAGCGCCAGGGCGCGTCGAAGAACTCTGCCACCGCTCTGAAGACATGCACACAAGATCACAGACGACCTGTCATACAACAGAATGCTGCGAAGGCAAGGCAATCCGCTCAGCGTCAACTTCTTTGGCTCAGACCGGCAGCGCGGCAAGCCGAAACAGAGAGGCGCGAGCCCGAAACCACATCCAGAACACCTGCAGTGCGAGGCAGCACGCGCCACGCGGTGCCACCCTCAAACTCGCCTATGGCAAAGAAACCCAGAGGGGCAGGGGACAGCCCGCCGCTCGAGCGGCACTGGTTGCGCCGCCGGGCTCAGCTCAGCGGCCCTGGGCTTCGGCCTCAGGCACCGCCTTCTCGATCGAGAGCTCGCGCAACCCAACGCCGCCATGGGTGGCGCGCAAAAATGGCAAGCGCAGCGGCAGAGGCAAGCATGAAGAGAAGCAAATTCATACATATATGAGCGCAAAAGGATCGCTGCCCGCGCGCACGGCCCCGCTTACCCGGGCCCTTGCAAGCGGAACACCTGGACAAAGTGAGCACCTTGGGCTGAGACCCCCGGACGACCTGGCACGCGTGCTCCGCCAGGGTGCCGTCCGTGCCCACGTCCTCGAACATCGCCCTCAGCTGCGGGAGGATGGCCCGCGTGTAGTGCATGTGGCATATCAGGCGCATGTCCAGGTCTTGCTTTGCGTGCTCCAGGAAGACTTCGATGACCACCGCTGTCACGAGATGCAGGGGCAACTATGGATACCACCGGGATGAAAGGTATAAGGATTAGCACCAGCATCCAGTCTTCCTTAATCACAGGTTGGATATCTGCCGACACTGTCCAGGGTAACGAACTGGACCGCGAGCATGACCTTTGGTAGCGTGCTCCAATAATCGTTCTCACCGCCTCCAAATGTCCCCTCGTCGGAAATTTTGAGATTACTTGTGATCACCTCTATGCCAAGGCAAGCAAATATGAAGAGGGTCAGCGAGAGCACGATGAAAACGTTGACGATCGTAGTCAGAGGCTGACGACTTCCCAGAGACCCGCATCGAAAGGGTCAGGAACTGCAAGAAGAGGCGCAGAGTTCGTGCGAAGGCCGAGTCTCAAATTGCACATGAACGCGGGCGGTGACCAGCTCTTCTGCACGGTTTCGCCGGCACACAGCAGGACGATGGGGAACCAACCAGGGGTCCACCGCACCAATCGTCGCGGGGACTGGCCCAGTTGGTTGGCATGCGCTTCGTACCGCACGGAAAGATGCGGGCTGAAAGCTCTGCCACGTACATGAGCAGAAACGCGCGCTCGTGCGACTCGAAGACAGCATCGCCCTCCAGCGCGGGCGTCGTCATCGGCGGGAGCACGATGAGCTCGACGCCGATCACCAGAGTGTTGAGCATGACCAGCGAGCCCATGACCCCATCGAACAGCGGATGGGCAAGGACCCCATAGCAACGGCGTTGCCAGCGCTGCTTCCACGTCTCCGCGCTGGCGACGGGCGACCTACTAGAACGGTGTGATTGTGATTTCGAGGAGTCCTGGCTGAGGGTCTTCTCTACACCGTAGTCGATCAGGGTTCCCGTGTCTTGGCCAAATCTTTTCATCTTCGTCAGCTTGTGCTCATCCAAGAGCCTGATGGCCTGATTGTCTGTCCGCGCGCGAGCAGACCTGAGCTGCGCTCCGTGGGCGGAGGTGAACGACAGCCGAGGGGGGGGGGGGGGCGGCGCCCTCTGACGCGCAGACCCAGACATCGACTTCCAACCGCCGAACGTGGCCGACAGCCACCTTGCACATGGGCTGCAAGCCCCTGCACGGGTCCTCGACCGAGACCACCTCGACGGCACCTCCACCGGATTCGAAGTCGACTGCTGGGGAAGCGGCCGCCTTGGCCGCCGCCGCCGCGGCGGGCGCCGGCGGCCCGCGGGCCACTGGCGAATGAACGGCCGGCGGGAGCGGGCGCCTCGCGGCCCGCCCGCAGCGCCTCCAAGCGGTCGAACTGCTCGCCCGCGGCGCGCTGGTGCTCTGCACGCACCCGCCGGCAGGCCCGGAGGAACTCCAACGCCTCCTCGCCGCCGCTGCCGCTGCCGCCAGGCGCGGGCTCGCGGCAAGGCTCGCTCCCGCTTTCGCCCGGGCCCTCGCAAGGAGCGCCCTCGGCCCTCCGAGGCGGCGGCGGCGGGGAGCCTTCCGCGCCCACAGGGCGCGGGCTCTCACCGCACGCCTGGGTGCCCCAGGAGGCGCCCCCGTCCGCGAAGAGGGTGCCCTCGTCCAGCAGCGCGCTCTGCGCCAGCTTCGGCCCCCAGCCCGGTGCCGCCCACTCGGGCCCGCCCGCCGCCATGGCTCGGGGAGCGCTCGCACGCGCCTGGCCTGGGAGGGGAGGCTTGAGCCACTACCAGATGTAGGAGAGAAGGGAGGAGGAGGAGGAGGAGGAGGAGGAGGAGGAGAAAGGAGGAGGAGGAGGAGGAGGAGGAGGAGGAGGCGGAGGCGGAGAAGGAGGAGGAGGAGGAGGAGGAGGATCTCCTCATCCTCTCTTCTCCCCCGTCCTCCCTCCTCCCCCGAGTAGCCCTGGTTTACCCTTTAGGGTGGCCTCTCACGTCGTTTTTGGCTGGGGGCGTGTATGCGAAGGCGCGGCCCTCCGCCCACCCCCGTCCGACGCAGTCGCGCGTCGGCCGCAGGGGGAAGGAGGCAGACAGGGCATGAGAGGCGGCAGGAGGGACGAGCATGGTGAGGCGGGAGAGACCTCCTTTCGCAAACTGGGCGAGGACTGGCAACTCTGTGGCTGCTAAAACGGTATTCCCGGAATAATAAACCACAAATGCCCGGAATACAACTCAGCGCGCTAACGAGTAACGAGTTTCCTGGAGCGCTGTTTTAGCAGCCACGGGTTTGCCAACCTTCGCCCAGCTTCTGATCCTTGTGCGCTGCCACACGAGAAGGCGAAGGGGGAAGGGAGGAATGCGGGGGGAGAATTAGCGGAGGATGGCGGGGAGGGGGACGAAGAGACCGCTTCCTCCTCGAACCCCCATCCAGTATCCGCGGGAGCATGGCGGAGCGCCGCCTTCAATGGCTTCTCGGCGCCATCCGACAAGGGCATCATAAGCGCTATCGACAAGCACTTCCCGTGCCGCAAGAGCTCGACCACGCTGGCCTGCAGCTTGCAGCAGGGTGGATAGGGGGTCTGCCGCGGGACGGAGGGGCGGAGTATGAGAGCAGGCAATGAGGATGAGGACGGGAGAGGATTGAGGGACCCAACGCGGCAAGTTGGCATGATATCGTTTTCTAGGTTTCGGTGATGGCCCCGAATATCCCGTCTGGGGTAGGGGGGAGAGGTGCCTGCAGATGCTTTTCGTTTCCTGCGGGCAACTCCACGTATGCCCGCACACGCCAAGACTGCGTACCCCCTCAGGACCTGCGCAGGTCAAATTATCAGGGGGCGGGCGTGTCCGATATCCTAGGTTATCGCCGAACCCTGAAACCAGTCTCCAAACCGTGCGGTGACCTCGAGATACCTCAAGACCTTCCCGCACGGTCCACTGCACCGACTTGGGACCTTGGAGGCCCCAAACACCTTTTTCGACACATCTTCGGAGAACGACTCAAATGCCGCGGGCACCCAACTTCCCCACTGGCTAACCACACGGTGTTCTCACCGAGCCGTTACAAATGTGGGTCCCCCAAGACGACCAGGAGGGAGTAACTATCGGGGGGCTGGAAGCCGCACGTGCTTAGATTTTTCTCGGGAACACCTCGGAGGCCGCCTCCCAAACACACAGATAGGGTCAGAGGATCACGCCGCACCGCCGATGCATCGGCGACGTCAGCGATGCATCGGAGCTGTCGGCGTGAGACAATTGGGGAACCCAAAGGTACCGATTCCGCTACTCCCCAGACCTCTCCCAAGGTGCGTTCTGACCAGAATGTCGGGGCGAATCCAGCGAATTTGAGAACGGGGCCATGGTAGCGGCATGGGTGCTTTTCCCAGAGATTGGATGTCGTATGTTTTTGAATGCGCGGTCCCCGAAAATCTCGACCCATTCCCCAGGACCTGTTTTTCATCCTGAGCCGGCGAGGGCCCCTACAAGTAATTATTAGTATATTATATATATACATATATATATATATATATATATAACCAAAAAATATCCGTCATGATTTTTCGATACGTTGGATCCTTGGGTGCCCCCCTCCGGGCCGCATTGCTCGGACCACATCCGCTCGGACCCCCTCCTTGGGAGGCTGGCTGGGCCTGCGGAAGCCCTGCCCAGGAGGCCCAGCAGTTAGAAAACGAGGCCATGCTAGCGGTATTTTTGTAGACCCAAAGGGGCTCCAGCTGAAAGGAGGTGGTGCAATAGATTTGGCGCAATTGTGTTGCAGATGTAGTGCGCCGGAGAATTGTGTTGCATAGCACTGCGACGATTGCGTTGCACGCGAAAATCCAGCAATACATTTGCACCAGGGGATGTATTGCACGCCACAAGTTTACCACAACCTCACAACATGTATTGCACCAAATCTTTTGCACCACCCCCTTGTCGCTGGACCCCCTTTTTGGGTCAAGCCGAGGTATGGGTATGATTACCTTCTCGCGGGCGTTGGCAGGACTGGGTTTGCTGGGGCCTGGTGTAATGACCCAGGCATGATCGCGCCGTTGAATAAATCAAGACGGGGAATGTTTGGCTGTTTTCGGCCCCGGGGGCCCTTCGCCGGGCCTCGGGGCCGTCGAAAAATGACCCAGGATGAAATGCTGGTCCCGTGGACAAGGTCGGGACTTCCAGGGAGGAGGAGGAGGAGGAGGAGGAGGAGGAGGAGGAGGAGGAGGAGGAGGACGCCGTCCTGAAAAGATCAGGACGTCGCAGGTCTAGGGCGAAGCGCCCGAGGCCACGGTGGCGGCACGGCTCCTCGCTGCTCGTCCTCCTCTTCACTCCTCGCCCCTCGCTGCAGGGAAGCTGGGCTTGGGTTGAGTCGGGCGCGTCCCACTGCAAGGGGATTTTCGACGAAAAATAGACCATACAACAAAAATGCTCCAATATGGTCAGGAAATACAAAAAATAGCCCCCGGACTATTTTTTTGCTGTTTTTGAATACTCCTCCTCGCGTAGAGGGACGGGCCCGACTTACGGCTTGGCAGACCGTGCGGTGGCCTTGAAAGCCCCCAAGGCCTCACCGCACGGTCCGTCACCGCACGGTCTTGGGGCCCTGGGGGCCCCCTGTCGCCCGAGACATCCTCGGAGAGGGACTCGAGTCCCAATACCGTGCGGTGACCCCGAATCCCCACCGACTCACCACACGGTGTGGTCACCACCCCGTTTGGGAAACTCCGACTGGGATAAGGTGGAAGTTGGGAAGGCAGTGAAAGTGGAAGTGGCCAGGGCCAGCAAACACTAGCAGGGGCTGCGACGAGCACGAAGCAGGTTGGACGAGGTGACCAGGACTGCAAAAACTGCAGGAAGTTCGGCCAAGGGTGGAAAGAGTGGAAGGGCTGGCCCCAGCCCCTTTTTCCGGCTTCCCTGTGCTCCTTCCTCCCCATCCCGTCCCTCCCCCCCCCCCTGGCCGCAAAAAGAGGAGCCCGACGGATCCAGCGTCGTGCACAGACGCAAGGCCGAATTTGGTTCGCCGCCGTTTCGGCCGCCAGAGGCCCTCGCCGGGCACCGGGACCGCAAAAGCAGCACTCAAGATGCGAGCAAGGACCGACCGACCGTCCCGGCATGTCTATAGGCTTACCACGACATGTTCCTGGAACCCAAACGTGTTGCAATAACAAAGCCAATGTTCTTAGAACAGGAACCAGATGTTTGAAAGCAACACCGTCCCCGCCAGAAATGTTCTAAGAACCTGTCGTGGAAGCCGCAAAAGGTTCTTAGGACATTCTTTGGTAGGCGTATGGGCGAGCCAGAACGCTTCGCCAATGCTGGAAGGATGAGAAGCCCATCCCTGGGAGCGGGTCGAGACTTACGGGCCAAGTACCGCGCACTGACAAAAACCAAGCCTTCGGATGCCGTGGGGGGGGGGAAGCAGGGCCCGGAGGAGTGGGAGCGGCCCCGACTTCGCTGGTGCACGCTCGCATCCCCTCGCTCCTCATGCCACGGCTGTCTCCTGCCCCCGCCCGGCAGGGCGGACAAGTCCTGCCCCCCTTGAGGGCACGAGGGCGGGGCCGTGACAGCACAGATAAACGATGTCCATAGCAGCACAGGCTGCGGCGGGACTTCTGCCCGAGTGTGGACGCCTCCTTTCTGGGAGGGTGCCTAAACTCCCTCTGGCCTGCGAGCCGCAACCCCTGACCCCTGGCATGCTCGCGGCCCTCGCTCCTCGTCCCACTCCCTGGCGATATCCCTGCTGCCTTCTCCTCGCGTTTCTCTTCCGTGCGTTCTGCCCTTCCCCCGCATCCTGCTCCTCCTCCTCCTCCTCCTCATCCTCCTCCTCTTCCTCCTCCTGCATGTTCTGGAACCGCTCCGCCGGAATATGGATTATGACGGGTGTTCTAGCCTACAGATTTACCGCGAGACGCGGCTTTAACTCTCGATGGCGGTCGGGACATGTCTGCCGCATGGGTTGCTTGCGATGCCTGTGGCAGAGGTGGGCTGCCTTTCATTGTAGGCACATGGCGCAGATATTTCGAATCCTCGTTCCTCATCCTCCTCCTCCTCCTCCTACTCGTCAGATGGCGGCTGAGTCGCTCGCAAACAACGGACCACCGAGGTAACTAAACGCAGACCTGTCCCGAGGAACAGAAAGCGAATTCTACTCCTCCGCCTCAACCTCCTCCATCCACCTCCTCTCGACCTCCTCCTGACTTCTCCTCTTTCCGGGTGTCCTTGGCCCAAGACGTCCCCATGACCTCCCAGAGCACCCCCCCGCGCCACCCGAAGAGCCCCAAATGCTCCACAACGGCACGGAAGGCCGGGCCCCAAGGGTTGGGGCCAGGGAGGCGGGCTCGGGGGATGACGGGGGGGGAGCGGGCAGCGCAGGGGGGCCGGAGGGGAGCGAAGGGGGGGGGAGAGGCTTCGGAGGACGAGCACGTGGGGGGGAGAAGCGGAGGGAGAAGAGGGAAGGAGAGGGAGAACCCTGAGATCCTTGCGTCTCGATCGTTTCGAGCCGGGCGCTTTCGCCCAGTCTCGGGCCCCGGAACCCTCTCAGGTCGATCTGGCTCGAACAACTGGCGCAGGAAGATTGGGTCCAGGGTTCTGGTCGTGATGTCTCACGATGGTGGCGCCGTCGGGTCTCAGGGAACGGAGGGGGGGGACGGTGGGGGATGGACACATCTCATGGCACAGTGACCCCTGGCCTGGAACGATCCCCAAAGCTTTGGCCTCAGATGAGGCCAAGCAGCCCGCTCAGAAGCAATCCCGAGTGGCTCGGGACAATGCTGCTCTTACTCAGTGCTCGTGCACCCGCACGGATGCAAGGAGGCAATCTAGCCTCAGCCAACTTGGCACTGGACGCAACGAAACGCGCGCAGTGGCCAGGCATAGGTGTTCCGGAAGAGGAAGCATAGCAACATAGCGAAGCAAATTCGTTGCAGCGGGGGCCACGCATCGCAATGCCAATGTCTTTTGGGCTACATGGCTGCCTTGGCTGTGGCAGAGGCGCGCGAATACAATACAGCTCTCGGCCTGGAGGAGCGCACAGAAAGATCAAATGTCTCGACGAGACGCAAGCGGGATGGATGGCGTGCAGCCGCATCAAGCATCCAAAGCCCTGGCTCCCCCAGACGGCACGTGCACACTGCGCTCACCACAGATTTCTCCCCTGACTTCGGCGCGCACTGAGGGGCACGGCCCCCAAAATATAAAAACGCTCAAAGGTGGGAAAAACAGCCTATATGCGTATATATAGGTGGTTCCGATTGAAATCCTCAACAGTAGGGTTTCTGTTGAAATCCTCCAAAGAAGGATTCCTACTGAACCCCTTGAATTCGTTTACGCTGTCGTTCACAATGGGGCACTCTGCGATCACGGTTCGAAGACACGAAAAATGCACCCGACGCATCGTTGCCATGACATTGCGAATTTTCAGGGGGACGGGGATGCCCAAGCCCCCACGTGTGTGTATGTATATATGTACACAAGACTGCATTGGCGCTGCGCGCCATGATCCTTGGTCCTTTGAGTTCTGCACGCAAGCGGAATGCGTGCGTGCGTACATGCGCGCATGCATATATACACGCGCACGCGCATGCACGTTCCGTAAACATGTCTAGGTGCATACACTATACAAACACTGTTGTATGTGTATACAGCGTACAAATGCACATATACATCTATGTGTGTAAGGGTATGAGCATGCATATGCAACTCGTACGGGGCATCCTCGGGCATTTTCGCTGCATGCCACGAAACCCTCAACGACTGGGTCACAATGTGAAATGTCATGGGGGCAAAATTCATGAATGTTGGCATTCGGAAACATCGTTGGGGTGTTTTCGGGGCCGTCGTGGGCCGTTTTGGCGCCTTCATGGGCCGCCCTGGGGCCTTCTTGGGCCGTCTTGAAGAGCTTCGGCCCGCTGGAGCCCCCTTTGGACCCATCTTGGGCACTTCCGGGGACCTCCCATGGCCCTTTTGGGTCTGTGCTGGGAGCCCTTGAGAGGCCTCTTGGTTCCATTATGGGCTGTCTTGGGGCTCTCGTGGGCGATCGTGGGGCCCGGCTCGGCCGTCTTGGAGCTTTCTAGAGGGCCTTGGAGCATCTGGAGGCGATCTCGGGAGCTTTGAAGCCGTCTTGAAAGCTGGTGAAATCCAAAAGGCGAATATGCCAAAATTGTAAGATTACGAAAGGAATGGGACGGTTTTTGTGGTTTGAAGGCCCCTTGGAAAGCTTTTTGGGGTGCCTTGGGGGTCTTTATGTTGGCATTCGGAAACATCGTGGGAGTGTTTTCGGGGCCCTCGTGGGCCGTTTTGGCGCCTTCATGGGCCGTCCTGGGGCCTTCTTGGGCCGTCTTTGGGAGCTTGGGCCCGCTGGAGCCCCCTTTGGACCCATCTTGGGCACTTCCGGGGACCTCCCATGGCCCTTTTGGGTCTGTGCTGGGAGCCCTTGGGGGGCCTCTTGGTTCCATTATGGGCTGTCTTGGGGCTCTCGTGGGCGATCGTGGGGCCCGGCTCGGCCGTCTTGAAGCTTTCTTGGGGGCCTTTTGGGGCGTCTGGAGGCGATCTCGGGGGCATTAAAGCCGTCTTGAAAGCGGATGAAATCCGAAAGGCGGATATGCTAAAATTGTGAGTTTTACGAAGGGAATGGGGCGATTATTGTGTTTTAAAGGCCCCTTGGAAAGCTTTTTGGGGTGCCTTGGGGGTCTTTATGTTGGCATTCGGAAACATCGTGGGGGTGTTTTCGAGGCCCTCGTGGGCCGTTTTGGCGCCTTCATGGGCGGAGGCCTGTCGTCGTCACCGCTTAGCAGGCACAACGTGACGGGCTTCTTGGGCCGTTTTTGGGAGCTTGGGCCCGCTGGAGCCCCCTTTGGACCCATCTTGGGCACTTCCGGGGACCTCCCATGGTCCTTTTGGGTCTGTGCTGGGAGCCCTTGGGGGGCCTCTTGGTTCCATTATGGGCTGTCTTGGGGCTCTCGTGGGCGATCATGGGGCCCGGCTCGGCCGTCTTGAAGCTTTCTTGGGGGCCTTTTGGGGCGTCTGGAGGCGATCTCGGGGGCATTAAAGCCGTCTTGAAAGCGGATGAAATCCGAAAGGCGGATATGCTAAAAAAGTAAGACTTACAAAGGGCATGGGACGATGTTTGTGCTTTTAAGGCCCCTTGGAAAGCTTTTTGGGGTGCCTTGGGGGCCTTTTGGGCCGTCCTGACGCAATTCGAGTCCCTGTTGGAGCGCTCTTGTGCTGTCTGGGGCCTCCCTTGGGCCTTTCTGATGATTCCTCGGGTCGCTCTGGGTCTGCTGGCAAGGCGTTTGTGGAGACCCGGAAAGCTGGGTGACCTTTTCCAAGGACGTCCAAGGGAGCCCGAGAACCCCAAATCCCGGGGGTCATTTTTTTTTGGGGGGGGGGATGGTTTCCCCCCCCCGGTCTTGTAAACATATAGGAAGAGGAATGTATATATATATATATATATATATGGAGATAAACGTCGATACCGCCACTCCCAAGACATCGCTTGGAATGCGTTCGGACCAGACTTTCGGAGCGAAGCTGGCCGTGGCGGCGAGGACTTCTCAGGGGGAGCCCAGAGAGGGAGAAAAAACAACTGACGAACGGTACCGGCATCGGTAAGTTGTACTTCTCCGACGTTCACCCGCAGCCCACTCCCCTCACTTCGGCGCGCACTGAGTGGCACTGCCCCAAAGGAGGGAGATCGCACATGAATGGAACGAGACTGCGTACAAAAGGAGGTGCCTGAAATGAAGCATGTATCGAGCGCCACAACTCTGCGGCCTCATCTTCTCCTGGGCGCACCACTCTTCGTCACTACCCTCCCTCTCCACGTAACCCGTCGGTCCCCGCGAAAAATCGCTAGACCGCTTCACCACAAGGCTAACCCGCCGGCACCATTCACTTCACGCGGCTCCTCCCGATCACCTCACTCACCATTGCTCACCTCATGAAAGGCATTCAGCGCAGGGGCGAAGACTGGGAGACGCTGGGCACAGTCATCATGCTACCTCAAGGAACGTACGATTATGCACAACGAGGCTTGTCTTGCCACGGCGAGCCTCGGCCACAAACAGGCCCGAACGCCATAAGCCATCCATGGCCACAACACTCGTCTCAGCAGTGAAAGCGCAGTGCACCGAACGGGCCTACAGGCTCAAGCTTCACCAGTAAATGAACGCCCCGAAAGATGGTTGCGAGTCACGAGCAACGACGTCCACTTCTTCAAAAATGCTGCTGCCATTACTAGTCGAACATGTTCGGAGGGTTCTGAGGGTGCGACGAGGGTGCAGCTTGAAGTCGCCGAGTCAGCAGCCATGCGACCCAAAATCTCAAACTGCGCTTTTCGGAAAACCGAGAGAATGAGGAGGTACGGTGGAGCTGATTCAGTTGCCCGTCGAGAACTGATGAACAAAAACAACTGCGAGACGAGATACTCCAACACGTGCGGAATACGAACGATAACATGAGGCTCATGGTTAGGAGGCCTGCTTGTATCCAGGAACTCGCTTGGGCCTGGGGGCCCAAACTCAAAGACCTCCGTGCGCACAACGACCCTCGGGTCCGCAAGCTCCAAAAGGCTCGGCTGAGCCTCCGGGGATCGGATCTGCACTACTAGGTGTGCCAAACTATGGATTTTCGGCAAAGCCAAGTGGGTAAACCACCCGTGCGTCCCACCGCCTGAATATTCCAGGTATACGCTGCCCATCGCGATCGCGTGCGCGCACATGGATGTATCACCCTTCGTCTCCGTGGGGGGGGGGGTAGCGACCCCCCCCCCGGGTCAGATACGACGCCCCCCCCTGGGACTCCTCTTCCCCTGGGCTCCAGCCAAGCCGACCTTGAGCAACCTCGTAATTGAGTCGAAGGGGAGCCCCTTCCCTTTGATCCCTCCCCCGCCGGGAGGGGGGGGGGGGGGTAGCGACCCCCCCCCCGGGTCAGATACGACGCCCCCCCCTGGGACTCCTCTTCCCCTGGGCTCCAGCCAAGCCGACCTTGAGCAACCTCGTAATTGAGTCGAAGGGAAGCCCCTTCCCTTTGATCCCTCCCCCGCCGGGAGGGGGGGGGGGTAGCGACCCCCCCCCCGGGTCAGATACGACGCCCCCCCCTGGGACTCCTCTTCCCCTGGGCTCCAGCCAAGCCGACCTTGAGCAACCTCGTAATTGAGTCGAAGGGAAGCCCCTTCCCTTTCATTCCTCCCCCGCCGGGAGGGGGGGGGGGTAGCGGGGGGGGTAGCGACCCCCCCCCGAGTCAGATACGACGCCCCCCCCCCGTACCGACCTTGAGCAACGTCGTCATTGAGTCGAAGGGAAGCCCCTTCCCTTTCCCTTCCCCGACGGGGGGGGGAGAGGAGGTCCCGGGGGGGGTCCCGGGGGAGTCCCGGGGAAGTCCCGGGTCAGATACGACACCTCCCTCCCCCACCTTCTCGTCCTTCTCCCCGTTCCCCCAAACCATCCCACAGCCCGTGCCTCTTGCTGCGCATTGCGAACAGGGTCGGCGGCACCGGCCGTCAGGCCTTCGCAATATTCCAGGTATACGCTGCCCATCGCGATCGCGTGCGCGCACATGGATGTATCACCCTTCGTCTTCGTTATGGGGACTGGAGTGTCTCTTGAAGTAAGACGCGTCATGTGCCCTGCTTCCCCCCAATAGGAACTGGAAGCAGACCTGTGACTGAGTTGCTCTCAGGAAAGCGGCCCCAAGGGTTGCTCCCCTGGCCGACAGGCGAGCTTGCGACTCTGCGCGAGAGACCTGGCTGTGGCTATGCTCCTGACCTGCGTAGCAATACGGCAAAAACGGGCTTGCGGCGCGCGCGGATCTCGCCCGACATGCTCGCACACGGCCGACAACGATGACAAGGTGAAGATGCCATCCGTCTGGCGGCTCGACCCTTTCAAGACATAGCCCCCCGTTCTACGGACCCCACTGGAGGGAAAGAGAACGAGAACCATGGACAAAGACTGAACGCGGACACGTCGGTATTGTCCTTGATCATCGTCCATCCTGGTCAACGGCATTCCGTGGAACAATCTCTCACATCGGCGACGGCCAGCACGGAGCAGCACCAAGGTCAGCGTCGACAAGATCCCGAGAAATCTTGGCCATGGTCCGTGGTCATCGTGATTCTTCCCTCGATCCATCTCTGGCTCACTTTTTGAAGATCCTGGGAGCCCAGAATTGGGCTCCTAAGGCCCAGCACAGCTGCAGTACGGCAATCTCGGCCTGCTAGTGCCGCCGACGGCTCCAGAGCTCCCTGAAGAGGCCCCACGGCACGGATGGCACCTGGAGGGGTCCATGTCCAGAAGCACACCCAAAGAAGGCCGAAACACATCCAACTACCCGTCGGTCGGAAGAAGTGGGCTGAAACATGAGGTAAGGAGGCGCTGGAAATAGATTGCGTTTCCGCCCGCCCCCTGACGAGGAAAGAGGGAAAACCCCTCGACTCTTGCAGTAGGAAGGCGCCGAGAGTATAGCAAGATCTGGAAACGCACGAGTCTGGGCGACCCCAAAAGGGGGTCCAGCTGCAAGGGGGTGGTGCAATAGATTTGGGGCAATTGTATTGCAAACATATTGCGCCTGAGAACTGCATTGCATTGTATTGCAACTAGCGTACTGCACGCGAAAACCCAGCAATACGTTTGCGCTCCAGAGTGCAGCGCACGCCCCAGACGTATTGCAACCCCACAGATATGTTGCACCAAATCTATTGCACCACACCCTTGTCGCTGGACCCCCTTTTGGGTCAACCCGAACTTTGGACACCCGAAATGGGTACCGAAAGAATGGGTACAATGCCCAGCAGCACATGTTGTCCCAAACCAACAGCGGCCGCTGTTGGGCAGGCGGCCTTCTGTCTCGAATGGACACAGGCCGCGGCGGCGTGGACAGCGAATCCTGTTCAGAATGAACAAGAACTGCTGTTGGGCATCGTACCCATTCTTGCCGTACCCATTTCGTGCGTGCAGATTTTGGGTCAGCCCGAACCCACTTTCAACGACCGGCGTGTGCACACCGACCCCCGACCCTCGCTCCTCGGAGCCGCCTCGCTTCGAGCACCGCGCTCCGCGAGGTGTGCGCGGCTGCCTTCGCGCCCTCGCCCCGCCCTCCCATGGAGCAGGGCGCCCCGCTCTGGCCCAGACCGCGGCGCGCCATGTATTGTCCTCGCGCCCCCGCGGGGGACCCGGATCCTCGCAAGGGGCACTCGAATGAGCATGAGCATGGCAAGCAGCATGGTCAGAAGACGACGCATCAGGGTCCTCGGAGGAGATTGGAACAGGAGGGAGGGAGGTGATCAGGAGGGAATGAACCAAATACCGATACCGAGGACGGGGCTAGATCGAAGGTGAATCCGTTCAAGAGCGTTCTGGAACGCTCTCGGAGCGTCCCGGAAAGCTCTGAGAAGGCCGCGGCGCCCCATACATCCTCCAGAACCACCGGATCTCAGAGATTCTCGATTCATCCACACCCAATTTGATCCTCGTCCTACTAGCTTCGTCTAAATTCCGTTAGGTCGGGCGTGTCCTCCTACAGTCGGGTTTGGACAAAAAATCAAAATACTAGAGAGATCGTCCCCAGACTATTTTTTCCCTACCTAGGCTCTGCCTAGAAGGGTTCTTACTCTCTTTGCTTAAAGGGGCGGGCAATGGAAACCGCCCCGGGCGGTTCCCCCAGTCCCCGCCCCGCGGTTCCCCCAGTCCCCTGGGAGCTTTAGCCTTAGCTTTAGCTTTAGCTTAGCTTTAGCTTTAGCTTAGCTTTAGCTTAGCTTTAGCTTAGTGTTAGCTTAGCTTTAGCTTAGCTTTAGCTTAGCTTCAGCTTAGCTTCAGCTTAGCTTTAGCTTAGCTCTAGCTTAGCGTCAGCTTAGCTTTAGCTTAGTTGTAGCTTAGTGGTAGCTTAGCATTAGCTTAGCTTTAGCTTAGCTTTAGCTTAGACTTAGCTTAGCTTCAGCTTAGTGTTAGCCTAGCATTAGCTTAGTGTTAACTTAGCTTTAGCTTAGCTTCAGCTTAGTGTTAGCTTAGCGTTAGCTTATCGTTAGCTTAGCTTTATATTAGCTTTAGCTTAGCTTCAGCTTAGCTTCAGCTTAGCGTTAGCTTAGCTTTAGCTTAGCTTTAGCTTAGCTGTGTCTTAGCTTTAGCTCAGCTTCAGCTTAGCTTTAGCTTAGCTTTAGCTTAGCTTTAGCTTAGCTTTAGCTTAGCTTTCGCTTAGCTTCAGCTCAGCCTTAGCTTAGCTTTAGCTTAGCTTTAGCTGAGCTTTAGCATATATTTAGATTTAGCTTTAGCTTAGCTTTAGCTTAGCTTCAGCTTAGCTTTAGCTTAGCTGTAGCATAGCTTTACCTTAGCTTTAGCTTAGCTTTAGCTTAGCTTCAGCTTAGCGTTAGCTTAGCTTTAGCTTAGCTTTAGCGTAGCCTTAGCTTAGCTTTAGCTTAGCTTTCGCTCAGCTTCAGCTTAGCTTCAGCTTAGCTTTAGCTTAGTTTTAGCTTATCGTTAGCGTTAGCTGTATCTTAGCTTTAGCTTAGCTTTAGCTTAGCTTCAGCTTAGCTTTAGCTTAGCTTTAGCTTAGCTTTAGCTCAGAGTGAGCTTAGCCTTAGCTTAGCTTTAGCTTAGCTTCAGCTTAGTTTTGGCTTAGCTTTAGCTTAGCTTTAGCTTAGCTTTAGCTTAACCTTATTGTTACTACTAATGCTGCTTTCCTAGGGGCTCCAACTCCTAGGTAGGGTCGCACTGGGATACTTACTATTTAAAAATATTCCTTCTGTAAAAGGACGTGCCCGACTTAATGATACCGCTACTCCGCAGACCTCCCCCAGGGCGCGGCCTGACCAGCCTGCCGCGGCGAACCCAGCGGTGTCGACGAGAGCACCTCAGGAGGCCAGAGAAGGCGAAAATTGGGCAAGGGTAGCTTGAGGTCGGGCGTGTCCTCCAACAAGAAGGTTTTGGACGAAACATAAAGAGTATTCAAAACAATGCTCCAACATGATGAAAGCAAATGAGAAAATCGTCCCCAGGTTATGGTTTACGATTGTTGGATATTCCTCATGTAGAGGGACAGGCCCGACGTAAGGATAGCAATCTCGTTTGATATCTGTTCCTCCTCTGAGATCTTGTGGTTATTCGGCGTGGGGTGTCGGGGGGGGGGGGGTAGAGTCGACGTCGATGCCGACGGCGGGGCGTCTCCTCGCCGCGTCTGCAGTACCCGCTCCACGGCCTCCTCCAGGTCCGCCGCGGGGATGATGTCGATGACAGCCTCGCGTGGCGCGCGATATTGTCGACGGGACCCCTCCTCGTGGGGAAGGAGACTTGAGGTTCAAGGTTCGAAGAGTCGCATGGCTGGCGGACTGTTGATATTTTTGGTGCTGCTTCCCCAGCCTCCGACGCCCCCGCGAGCGTCCAGACACCTCCAGACACGTTGGTGACGACCCGTTCCCTCACTCTCACCACTTGCCATCCCAAGGACCCCGTGGATCGCCGAGCGGAGCGGGCGATTCTGCGCAAGCAGACTGCGCCACGCGATGGTGAGACAAGCGAGGCTTTCGCAATCTGATCTTCCAAGCGGTCCCTTCTGAAACCGAGCCCTGTTTGAATCCGAGGCGCCAACTCAAGTGCACCAGGAGGAAGCGAACAAAGCAATGGCGACTGACGCCAGCTTCAAGCTAGTTCCCGTCGCAGGCATTCCCCGTAGAGCTCCGCAAACCCAGTGGACACCCTTACACCCCGTCGTTGAGGAGCTCTTCTCTCCCGCTCCTGGTCCTCCGACTCCCTCCTCCCTGCTCATTCCTCCTCCCCCCTCCCTCCCTCCTCTCCCACCCCACCTCCCCGCTCCCTCCTCCAACCTACCGCCCACGCTCCTGTTCCTCCTCCTCCGCCTCCTGCTCCTCCTCCTCCTCCTGCTGCTGCTGCTCCTCCTCCTCCTCCTCCTCCTCCTCCTCCTCCTCCTCCTCCTCCTCTTCCTCCCTCCTCCTCCCGCTCTGCTGCCTCGCTCTCCTCCTCCACCTCGCCCTCCCTCCCTCCTTCCCTCCCTCGCCCCCCCTCCGCCACCGCTCCAACTCCCCCCCTCCCTCTTCCTCCACACGGGGGAGGGGGGAGGGGGCAGGAGGGAGGCGGCACCTCCCGCTGAGAGAGAGGGCCACGGAGGAGGGCGGGGGTGGCGCCTCCCCCTCTCCCCACGCCCCCCCCACCTTTTGGCGGGCGAAGAGCGGTATGACCTGGACCGCGAACGGTGAGAAGAGAATCCCCTGGGGATAATCAAGTGCGGGGTCTGGGTGAAAATAAAAACTTTCTTCTCTGACGTGTTGATGTTAGAATGTCTGGATCGCCCTATCCGAAGGTCTGGGCTACGATAGGAATCTTGGAGGGGATCATGAACGTTCGGCCCCCCGCCTGTTGTGGCAAGTGGACCACATTCACCCCCCTGGAAAATGGAATACACAGGTTAAGGGGGGAGACTTTCTTATCCAAGGGTTGCGGTTCAATAGTTCCGCCGTCAGGAACGCCTGTCCCAGGGCGGCTGCAAAGCTTACAGCCCCAACTGCCACCGCTGGGGCCCAAGCTTTCCCGCCGCGCTGGGACACGCGACCACGGCGGCGGAACAGCATCTTATCGTCCGCCGCTCCTGTCGCCCCCGACGAGGAGGAGGAGGAGGAGGAGGAAGAGGACGAGGATGAGGGAGAAAGGCGGGAGAAGGGAGGAGGGAGGGAGGAGGGAGGAGGGAGGAGCAGGAGCAGGAGGACGAACCACTGCCCCACCCCTGGCCGGGCTGCCGCCCGCGACGCACCTGCCGCCTGCGCCTGCAGGCCCTGCTGGCTCTCGCGGTGGCCGTCGCCGCCGCGGCCGCCGCCGTCGTCGTCGGCGTCGGCGTCGTCGTCGTCTTCGTCCGTCGTCGTCGTCCTTGTCGTCCTTGTCTTCTCTCTCCCAGTCCTGGTTGTCGTCGTCGTGTCTCTCCTCCTCCTCCTCCTCCTCCTCCTCCTCCTCCTCCTCCTCCTCCGGCTCCTCCTCCTCCTCCGTCCTGCTCCTCCTCCTTGTCCTCCTACTTTTGCTCCTGCTCCCTCGCGCTCCTCTTCGGCCGCCTCTCCTTCGCGGACTCAACTCCCCCTCCCCCCATCCTGCTGGCCCTGCTGCTGCTGCTCCTTCTCCTGCCCCCCGAACAAAAAACAAACAAAACCTTACGTTGCAATTATTGCCACGATCTGGTCGGGCATGTCCTCCCACAGGCGGAGTTTCGACGAAAGATAAAACGTAGTGAAATCATGCTCAAAACATGTTCAGAAACATTCAAACATCGTCATGGACTATTGTTACACCTCCTCCTCCTCCTCCTTCTCCTCCTCATCGTCCTCCTCCTCCTTCTCCTCCTCGTCGTGCTCCTCCTCCTCCTCCTCTTCCTCCTCCTCCTCCTCCTCCTCCTCCTCTCCTCCTCTTCCTCCTCTTCCTCCTCCTCCTCCTCCTCCTCCTCCTCCTCTTCCTCCTCCTCTTCCTCTCCTCCTCATCCTCCTCGCTTTCCTCCTCCTCTTTCCCTCCTCCTCCTCTTCCTCCTCCTCCTCCTCCTCGTCATCATCATCGTCAGCAGCATCATCATCATCCTCATCATCATCATCATCATCATCATCATCATCATCATCATCATCATCATCATCATCATCATCATCATCATCATCATCATCATCATCATCATCATTATCAGCAGCAGCAGCATCAGCATCATCATATGAGTCGTTGCTCCTCCTCCTCCTCCTCCTCCTCCTCCTCCCTTCTCCTCTTTCTCCTCGTTCTCCTCCTCCGACTCCTCCGCACCACCATCACCACCATCATCATCATCAGCATCAGCATCATCTTCATCATCACCATCATCATCAGCAGCTGTATCATCAGCATCATCAGCATCACCAGAATCACCAGCATCATCACCATCGTCATCACCAGTATCATCACCAGCATACCCATCATCATCATCATCATCATCATCATCATCATCATCATCATCATCATCATCATCATCATCATCATCATTATCATCATCATTATCATCCTTATCAGCATCATCATCATCATCATCAGCATCATCATCATCATCATCATCATCATCATCATCATCATCATCATTGTCATCATTGTCATCCTCATCATCATCATCATCATCAGCATTATCATCATTAGCATCATCATCATCAGCAGCATCATCATCATCGTCAGCATCAGCATCAACATAAACATCATCAACACCATCATCATCAGCATGAGCATCAGCATGAGCATCATCATCATCATCAGCATCATCATCGTCCTCATCGTCCTCATCCTCGTCCTGATCCTCGACCTCATCCTCGTTCTCATCATCCTACTCCCTCCCCTTCCTCATCCTGGTCTTCCTGCTGTTCCTCCTCCTCCTCGTCCTCCTCCTCCTCCTCCTCCACCTCCTCCTCATCCTCCCCATCCTCCCTCCTCCCGCCACCCTCCTCACTCCTCCCTCCTCCCTCCTCCCGCCTCCCGCCTTCCGCCTCCCTCCTCCCGTTAGTCGTAAGTCGTCCGCTGTCGGCGTCGAGGTCGTCATCGCCGTCGTCGTCGTCGCCGTCGTCGTCGTGTCGACCACTAGCATCTGGAGCGCCTCAATTCGGCGGCACTGGCCGGAGGCCATTCAAATACTCAAAAATCGTTCCGGACTATTGTTTGAGTATGTTTGAATATTCCTCCTGTAGAGTGACAGGCCCGACTTAACGCCACCACTCGAAAATGTCAATGCCGGGGAAGGCCGCCGTGGCCTTGGGTGGCCATCTTCCGACAGAGGTCCCTCTGGCGAACGGCCGCTCTCGAGAGGCAGACATTCTTTCGACTCTGGCGCGTCTGCTTGCAGGGATGGGAAGGATGGCGTGGTGAGGCCTCCACTTCAACTTCATGAGTCATGAACAACCAAGCAAGGACCCCTAACCCTTGGGAGGAGACCTGAGCTAGGAGGGCCAACGACATTAGGCATAATTAGGGGGCCTCTTTTTTGCGTCCAGATGTTTTGATCCCTGGTGCACAGATGGGGACCTCAACGAGGCAACGTCTGCATCGTGTCCTTAGGGTCAGGGGCTCCTCTGTTCCTGGTGTCGCGTCACGTACACTGGGACCAGCTTGCACTCCTCCGTCCTGCCCCGCGCTGTCTGAAGAGGCGGCGGCGAAGGAAGGGGAGGGCGGGGCGGGGAAGGCATGCCGTGCAGGCAGTCCTGCTGGATTCCACGAGAGCAGGAACAGGGGAGGACCCCGGCTGCCTTGGCTGGTCCCTCCTCCGGATGCTCGACGACCTGCGGGTCAGCACTCGGGCCTCCAGCGGCCGCTCGGGGCGGTTCGAGGCACCCGCGGAAAACGCTCTCGTCGAGGCGCGGCTGCTGGAGAGCGCATCCCGAGGCAAGAACCCTCCCAGGAGCCGACGAGCACTCACGCACACCGCTCCTCCCTCCCCCCCTCCTCCTCCTCCGCGACTCGGGCCCCCGACGTCCTGGTGGTCTGTTTGCTCACGATGTGGGCCCCCGCAGGTCTGGACCTCTTCCCCAGGACAACCCTTTCCTCGGGAGTCGCTTGCTGACGGGAGGGAGGGAGGGAGGGAGGGAGGGAGGGAGGGAGGGAGGGGGGTTCAGGGTAAAAAGCCGCCCTCCTCCGACGCAGAGGACCCCCCTTGCCTTGGATAGGGGGGGGGGCAGATACGCGCTTGAGCCGGATATGGAACAGCGCGCTCCACTACTCGCAGAGTCACTGCTCGCAAATGGCCTGGATCCGCCGCGGGGGAGTTACGAGACATTCCATAAAGGAAGCCACGTTTTTTTTTTCTGACGTGTGCGAGCACAGTCGGGGCGTTGACCTCAGGAACCCTGAATAAGGAACGAGGCCCCTTCTTTTCCATGAGTTAAACCTCGACGTCCGATCGATTCCGATCGAACACATCAGGAAAACCTGAGGCAAGCTGTGAAACCCGTAAGGAACGCGGAGCCCCTCCCCAACGAAAAGGGCTCCTTCTTCAGGGCCCCGACTGGTCTACTCTGTCAGAACGGTTTTTTGAAGGCAGATCTGCCTTCAAAGAGGAAAGACTGGTCTACTCTGTAAGAACGGTTTTTTGAAGGCAGATCTGCCTTCAAAAAACCGTTCTTTTGAAGGCAGATCTGCCTTCAAAAAACCGTTCTTACAGAGTAGACCATTTTTTTGAAGGCAGATCTGCCCTCAAAAAAACGTTCTTTTGAAGGCAGATCTGCCTTCATAAAACCGTTCTTACAGAGTAGACCAATTTTTTGAAGGCAGATCTGCCTTCAACAAACCGTTCTTTTGAAGGCAGATCTGCCTTCAAAAAAACGTTCTTTTGAAGGCAGATCTGCCTTCATAAAACCGTTCTTACAGAGTAGACCAATTTTTTGAAGGCAGATCTGCCTTCAAAAAACCGTTCTTTTGAAGGCAGATCTGCCTTCAAAAAACCGTTCTTACAGTGTAGGCCCTTTGCGAGCCGTGGCACGCGCTCGGTGAGGCTCGGCGGCCGAGGCGGCTGGACGCTCATGCGATGGGGTGCTTTTGGGTGGGCCTGCGGTGCTGGCCATTATCGGAAGCTGCCTCGGCGGAGGCTCCGACACCGGCCTGCGGAGGCGCCTACGGCCAGACCTGGGGCAGAAAAAACATCCCTCGAGTACATTCGGGAGCGGCAAAGAGGGGGGGGTCCAAGAGGGGGGGGTGCAAATCATGACCGGCGGCATGTGCGCGGCCCAGCGGGGGGGCCTGGGACGTAATGAAATAAGAAGAGGCGCCATGAAATCTGAGGAAAGATCATGGCCCGCGCCATGAAATCCACCCCCCCCTAGTCATCACCCCCCTCTTTTCCGCCCCCGGTACATGGTCGGGGATCTTCTGACCCGGGTCAATCCAGACCCGGGTCAGTAGGAAACCAAAAACTGCAATGCAGAAAGAAAAACAACTGCACCGCAGGTCTTCGCAGACCCGGGTCAGCCAATACGTGCGGCCGCCTCGCGGCCACGAGCGGCTCGCTAACCCGGGTCAGCCAGACGGGGTCTTCGCAGGATCCTGCAGGATCTGGCGCTCTGGCTGACCCCCGTTTGCATTGACCCCCGTCTCAAGGCTCCCGACATGGGACATGGGACCATCCGCCGGCTAGTCTGACGAGCACTCGTGGGTACCCTCCCCCGGGACGCACGAGAACATCCCGCCAGCACGAAGAACGTGAGGGAACCCTCCCCGACCCGACCTCGATCTGAATACCTCGGTCCGACCGTAGCCAGGGGGTCAAGGCACGGGGAGGACAAGGGTCCCTCCAGCGCAGGGCCCAGCCGACCCCGCGAGCGGCGGGCGCGCAAGCCGACGCGGCGCGGGCCTCCTCCGCGACGCCGCGCACTGCTTCCTGCGCTCCTCCGCGGGCGTCGCCCCGGAGCCGCTCGCGCGCAGTGACCTCCAGTCGGCCGCCACCCGGGGGAGCACTGCTCTGGGTACCCCTGATCGCTGGATCTGGATCGAAGCGCGACGCCGAATAGATCCTTCTTTACCACGTGCGGATGCAAGATCCAGACACACACGCAACCACACACACACAACATAATCACGCCTTACCCGCAACCAGTGACATGCCGACGGCTTACAAAATACTGGAAACCTGAGGCCCCCACACGAATGCCATAGGCTCGGCTTGGGTCGAATCGGTAAGCGGGTCGGATCGCCAACGAATCGAATCGACATCACATCGTTGCGCATGGCTCCGGCTGGCCCCCAAAATGCTGGTAAATCGACCTGAACCGAACCGAATCGGCATCGATCCATATCGAACCTGATCGGGGGCGGCCACGCTTGACACGCCTGGGTCAAGAGGCAACTTCTGGGAGGTCTGCGCAAAAACGATGGATTCGGCGGGACCGTGCCGGTCTGGGCCGGCTTGGAATACGGACATGTCGGCAGTGCAGTGCAGTGCAGGTCCGATCGCGCGCGGAGGCCTCACGCGCCCCACAAGTGGAGTCGGCGACGGATATGTTCGGCGGTAGGCAAACCTCCCTTTAATCAACCACCCTTTAGTGAAAACGGCCTAGAACCGAAACCGGCGGACCTGGACCCGCAAAAATGACGGCCGCGACGCCCTCTCGCGAGCCGAAAGCGGCCAATTCGCGAATCGACGTGTCAGGGTAGGAGGCCCATCAACCTCGAATCTGTCAGCGCCGATGCTGACTGCAACCTCCGAGGAGCTGGACCCCCCCAAGGGGGTCGGGCAGAGTGGGGCAGGGGACAGCACGCACTTCGGGCAGCAAGCGCACATGACAGGCCGCCGCGGGGCACGCTGCTGCTGACGCATGGCCCGTTCCTCGGCGGGCGCGTCGAAGCTCATGGGCCCTCCTCCTCCTCCTCCTCCTCCGCCTCCTCCTCCTCCTCCTCCTCCGCCTCCTCCTCCTCCTCCGCCTCCTCCCTCCCCTCCGCCTCCTCCTCCTCCTCCTCCTCCTCCTCCTCCTCCTCCTCCTCCTCCCCCTCCTCCTCCTCCTCCTCCTCCTCCCCCCTCCTCCTCTCTCGGGCCCCCCCCCACCACCCCCGCCTGGCCCCCCCCCTCCCCAGGGGGGGAGGGCAGCGGGCACCGAGGCCACCCCCGCGGCGGAGGGCGGGTGGTGCGCCTGCTCCACGTGCTGGCGCACCATGGCGTGCGCCTCCGCGTCGCCCACCTGCGCCAAGGGGGGGGGGGAGTAGGAGGCGGGGCGAGGAGGGGGGAGCCCAGAACTGCGCGAGCACGCCAGATGGGCGACGAGCAAAAACGAACCTCGGGCGAGCTGACGTAGCGACTTTACGCGGCGGCCTACGCGGGCCGCCAGCGCGGCACGCTACATTGGAGACCAGGGCGCTCACGCGCGACCTTACGCGAGCAGCTTGCGCCAACGTCGGCGAAGACGACACGATTTTCTGGCGTCGCTCAGATGTCACAGACATGGAGCGCCCGGATGTCAGGGTCCATGTCAGCCCATAGGTGACCTCACGACCACCCAAATAGCCCGGCCCCGCGGTGGCCTCACGACCACCCAAATACCCGTAGACCTCCCGGGGGGCGCGAAGAAGTGGCCCGAAGCCTCCGAAAAAGCCTGAAGGCGGCTCGGTAAGGGCCCCCAGAGCAGCCTCAGGAGAGGCCCGAGACAGGCCACGCAGAGTACGGCTACCTGCGCATTGAGGCCAAACACACCCCGAACGCCCACTGTGTGGGAGATTTGCGCCCTTGCCTCCCATCGTGGCCCCGCTCTGTGGGCGCCCGAAGAGGCCAACAACGCACTCCCGCGTCGGGTGGATCCTTCTTTCACTGCTTCACCCCCCAAGCCCGCCACTCCTCCCCGCTTTTCCTGCCCCCCGAGCCCCCCCCTCCTCCCCTCCACTCTTCTTCCTCGCCGAGGACAAGCGCGTCAGCGCCACGGAATAAAATACCAGCGGCGGGGCGCCACAAGCGCAAGCCGGCGCCCCCACCTCGCGGGGCCCCCTCACTCGATCGCCTCGGCGATGTACGCCGACGCCAGAGTGGCGAAGATCAGCGCCTGGATGGAGCCGGCGAAGATGCCAAGCGCCATGATAGGCAGGGGGATGACAAAGGGTACCAGGAAGGTGAGGACTGCCACGGTGAGCTCGTCCGCGAGCACGTTCCCGAAGAGCCTGAAGCTCAGGCTGAGCGGCTTGGTGAAGTCCTCGAGGATGTTGATTGGCAGCAAGATGGGCGTGGGCTTGACGTACCTCTAGGAGGAAACAACTGCATTGCACTAAGCATACATATTTGGAGGTCCGCGTGGATATCTTGGATCCGCACTGACCCCCCTCCCTGGCGCGCGGAGCGCGCGAGGGGTGGCACTCGAGGCGCCACAACGGGGGCCCAGCGCCGACCCGAGAAATCCGCGCGGCGCTCCAAAAACGTTTGTTTACGCCGTTGTCTTGTCGAGTGCCGCGCGAAGTATCCGAGGCCCTTCTTCACCAGGCCACCGCCGAAGTAGGCGATGGATGTCAGCAGGCTCAGCGCCACGGTGGTGTTGATGTTGTTGGTGGGTGCGGCGAGTTCGCCCTCGGGGAGCTCCAGCAGCTTCCACGGCACCAGCGCCCCGGACCAGTTGGACCCGAAGATGAACAGGAAGATCGTGGTGACGAACGGCACCCAAGGCCGATAGAACGACTCCCCGAGGTTGTTCTTGGCGATGCCAGAAGAAAAAAACATCTGCACGAACACCCACTTGACATCTTCGGGGATCTTCTGACCCGGGTCAGTCCAGACCCGGGTCAATCCGGCCTTGCAAACTCCTGCAAAATCCTGAAAGGTCCTGCATCCACCAAACCAAGCCCAATGCGAAGGATCCTGCAGGATCCTGCAGGATACTGCACCCAAGCCCGGGTCAATGCGACCCTGTCCCAGCAGGATCCTGCAAGATCCAGCGCTCTGGCTGACCCCCGTTTGCAGTGACCCCCGTCTCAAGGCTCCAGACATCGCTCGAACGTCCCTTTCCCGTGCATGCTTCGGCATCGTGCTTGCCTTTGCCGCAAGCTGATACGACATTCTCCCCGATGTCGACGGCGAGTCCCCGGGTGGGGAAGGGAGAAGGGGCGGGCCTTCTCAGAAGGCTCGGAAGTCCCCCGGCCTTCTGAGAAGTTTTCTCGAACATCCCCGAAGACGCAGAACACTGATCAGAAGGCGCGAGGGCTTCTGAGAAGTCTCGCCGCCTTCTGAGGGGGCCTTCTCCTTCTCAGATTCCCCCCTCGCTCGCCGCCGACGCTGGCCATCGCCGAAACACTGCGCACTTCCGAGCCATGCCGAGCAGACCTCAAGCGGCCCTCGCGGAGCTCTCTCTCTCTCTCGGCCGGCGCGAGCGGGCGCCACGGGGGCGGCGACATCCCAGAGAACCAGCGGACCTCCGTTTACAGCGGCCTCTGCAGTTGCGGAGGCTGTTGGACCTCGGACAGAAGCCTAGACATGCTCGCGTCGTCAAATGTTCAGGGCTGGATGTGCGTCGCTACTTCCAGCCCTGGGAGGGGCCCTCGCCGGGCCCCGGGACCGTCAAAAAACGGCTCAGGATGAAAAGCCGGCCCCAGGGCAAAGGTCGGGACTTCGATCAGGCGACGCCGTACTGACAAGATCAGGACGTCGCGCGTCTGGGAGGACATCCTTCAAGCACACTTTTTTGGGTCTGCGGGTCGAGAGCGGGCCTCTTCCGGTTAAGAGCTAGGCGGGGCGCGCAAAGCACTCATTGGGGAGACAGGGCGCGGGCGGGCGGGGCCTCAGGCGGCAACCTTCCTTCGAGTACACGAGACCCACCGTCGGCCAAACCTTTCTGCGTCGGCGGCGAGGCAGGGGCGGTCTGCTTCAGCGATTGGCCACTCGGGGCAACCGAATGGAGCCCGTCGGCCAAAGCACACAGACCATCCAGTGGGGCCCCTCCCCGGGATGCAGCGCGAACATCCCACGAGCACGGAGAACACCAGGGCACCCTCCCCGAACCGACCTCCATCTTGTACCTCGGTCCGACCGTACCGTACCTACAAGACCAACCCCAACCTAACCTGAAGACCGAAACTTCGGGCTGGGGGGGGGGGCTACGAGTTCCACATGGATTGTTGGTCAGTGTTCTCCGACGCTTCTCCCGCTGGGAACGGAGGGCAAAGCTGGGCCTTCCGGCTGGGCTGGGTTGGTTTGGTGGGTGGTGGCAAAACCGAGAGGCTCTGGAAGAGGCCCGTCGCACGCGCCGACCTTCGAGACATCATGCAGCGAGCCCGCCGGTAGGCTTCTAGTTCTCGTCGGAGAAGTATGGGTTGGTCGCGGGCGGGTCGCGGGCATGTCGAGGGTTGGTCGCGGGCGGGTCGCGGGCGGGTCGCGGGCAGGCGGCGGGCGGGTCGCGGGCGAGGTCAGGCACAGCAACACTCAGTCTAACCTCTGTGGGCTCTGAGCTGCTCGAATTTCACGCGCCAAACCCTCCAGCCCACACCCCGCCTTTTCGTCTTCGAGCGTACCCTTGGGGGTAGATCTTCCTTGACTACCACGTGTGGTTGATCGAGCACCCAATACATGGGGAAGGGAGGAATGAGGGAGGGGACAAGGGGGAGGGAGAAGGGTGTGAGAGGAACGGGCAGACCTCTCAGGGCTCGCTCCTCCTCATTCTCCTCCTGCTCCTCCTGCTCCTCCTGCTCCTCCTGCTCCTCCTGCTCCTCCTCCTCCTCGTCCTCCTCGTCCTCCTCGTCCTCCTCCTCCTCCTCCTCCTCCTCCTCCTCCTCGTCCTCCTGCCCAGGGAGATGACGTCGCAGGAGGGGGAAAGAGGAGCCAGAAGCAGGCGCGGGGGCCAGACGGGCGGGTCGTGCGGGCGGACCCCCGACGGCCGGGGGTCGAGCGGCCCGCCGAAGCGTCGGTCCGCGCGGATGGCGAGGACTTCTCGAGCGGCAGCACACTTCTCACTTGAATCGTTGAAGGGCCCCAGGACACACACATAAATACACACAAACAAAAAGATTCTCCATATCTTCACATATTTTCTGGGTTGTTGTCTTCCCCCCCCACTTCCCACATGTTCCTGGGAATCGACGATTCATTGTGTCTGTGTGTTTTTTTCCTCTCCTGAATCGTAAGGAGGTCCACAGCCAGAGCGTGCTTCCTGAGCGTCGAGGGCGCAGAGTTTCGATACACGGCAAGGAAATCCTGCGCGAGGGCGCGATTCATGTATAACAATGGAGTGTCCCGCGCGAGAGCAGGGTGTCAAAGAACTTGTGAGGAAGTATCAGGCGGTAGCACTTGATTGGGTAATTCGGCGGCCAACATCGCACTCAGAGCCTTACAACATTATGTTGTAAAACGTGGTGGGACCCCTGGAAAAGGGGAACACGGAGCCAACAAACACGATGGGCACCTGAGAGGAGGGATCAGCAATCATCCGTCTTTCGACATGAGAACTCCACATGGACCAGACAGCAGCCCTGAAATTCACAGCGGAAGCCGCACGCACCCAGGGATGGTGTGAGACCGTTCGGCCCCCTCACTTCGGGACGACGTAAGACTCGGGCTCTGGGGACTCAGGCTGGCCTGACGAGGCCGCCAGGAATATGGCGAGACCCAATATGAGATTTGACGCCACCTCCCGCTGCAGACACCCCAGGAAAACTGGACTGCCAGAGCAGAGGACGAGCTCATCAAAGAGCGTCGGCTCGCCGAAGCTCGGGCGAGCTCGCGTCTCACGCTTCCCCCACCGCTCCGGTGTTTGTGCCGACTTCTCTTCTTCGCGATGTCTGAGGTGAAACCGAGCGTCATCTCCTGGAAGTTGCGCACGCCCGAAGGCGCCCCGTACTCGGACACGGGCGCCTTGGCTCAGGTCGGGCACGTTCCCCGTACAGGCTGATTTTGGACGAACGCAAAAACATCGGAAAAAAACAGACTCCAAAAACATAAAACAAAATACTAAAACAAATCGTCCCCTGACTATTCCCAACCATCCTGTGGTGTTGGGTCCTCGTTTTGAAGAGACGCCGCCCCGCGTTCCCCCTTCCTCCTCCTTCCTCCTCCTCCCCTTCCTCCCCCCTCCTCCCCCTCCCACACCCATTCTGGCACACCCCTCACACGTTTCGTGGTCCCAGAGGGAGCTCCGCCGAAGGCCCCAGTGGCTGCGCCCGCATGCGGTTCCACCCCCCATTCTGGCACACCCCTCACACGTTTCGTGGCCCCATAGGGAGCTCCACCGAAGGCCCCAGTGGCTGCGCCCGCATGCGGTTCCACCCCCCATTCTGGCACACCCCTCACACGTTTCGTGGCCCCATAGGGAGCTCCACCGAAGGCCCCAGTGGCTGCGCCCGCATGCGGTTCCACCCCCCATTCTGGCACACCCCTCACACGTTTCGTGGCCCCATAGGGAGCTCCACCGAAGGCCCCAGTGGCTGCGCCCGCATGCGGTTCCACCCCCCATTCTGGCACACCCCTCACACGTTTCGTGGCCCCATAGGGAGCTCCACCGAAGGCCCCAGTGGCTGCGCCCGCATGCGGTTCCACCCCCCATTCTGGCACACCCCTCACACGTTTCGTGGCCCCATAGGGAGCTCCACCGAAGGCCCCAGTGGCTGCGCCCGCATGCGGTTCCACCCCCCATTCTGGCACACCCCTCACACGTTTCGTGGCCCCATAGGGAGCTCCACCGAAGGCCCCAGTGGCTGCGCCCGCATGCGGTTCCACCCCCCATTCTGGCACACCCCTCACACGTTTCGTGGCCCCATAGGGAGCTCCACCGAAGGCCCCAGTGGCTGCGCCCGCATGCGGTTCCACCCCCCATTCTGGCACACCCCTCACACGTTTCGTGGCCCCATAGGGAGCTCCACCGAAGGCCCCAGTGGCTGCGCCCGCATGCGGTTCCACCCCCCATTTCGGCACACCCCTCACACGCTTCGTGGGTGGCTCCATGGGGAGCTCCACCGAACGCCCCAGTGGCTGCGCTCGCATGTGGTTCCCCCCCCATTTCGGCACACCCCTCACACGGTTCGTGGCCCCATAGAGAGCTCCACCGAAGGCCCCAGTGGCTGCGCTCGCATGCGGTTCCACCCCCTTTTTTCGGCACGCCCTTCACACGTCTCGTGGCCCCATAGGGAGCTCCACCGAACGCCGCAGTGGCTGCGCTCGCATGCGGTTCCACCCCCCATTTCGGCACACCCCTCACACGTTTCGTGGCTCCATAGGGAGCTCCACCGAAGGCCCCAGTGGCTGCGCTGGCATGCGGTTCCACACCCCATTCTGGCACACCCCTCGCACGTTTCGTGGCCCCATAGGGGGCTCCACCAAAGGTCCCAGTGGCACTGCCCGCTTGCGTCCGCCACCACCCAGCACAGCCCTTGTTCCCTGCGCTTCACCCACCCAGAACAGCGCTTCGTAGCCCTATAGGGAGCTCCACCAAAGGTCCCAGCGGCACCGCCCGCATGCGTCCGCCACCACCCTGCACAGCCCTTGCTCCCTGCCTGCGTTTCACCCACCCAGTACAGCGTTTCGTGGCCCCATAGGGAGCTCCACCGAAGGTCCCAGTGGCACCGCCCGCATGCGTCCGCCACCACCCAGCACAATTGCTGCATTCACAACTGCATATGGTTGGGTCCTTCGCCAGGCTAATTTTTGATATGATTTTTCTAGCTATCCCCCCTGTAGAGGGACAGGCCCGGCTTCAGCCTTGGCGTGGCGCGCCACGGCCGCGCAGACGCTGACGGTGGCGCGGGCGCTCAGCAGCAGCGCCTGGGGCAGCCGCCCGGCGGGGATCGTGATGGACTTGTTTTCCACCACCACCATAACTCGAAGGGGGAAGGAGGTGGAGGACGAGGTGGAGGAGAAGGAGGAGGACGAGGACGAGGCGGAGGAGGTGGAGGAGAAGGAGGAGGACCCCCTCCCTCCAACTTATGGTGGCGGTGATGGACAACAGGCCCATCAGATCGGCAACACTTGGCACGCTGGATCGCTGCACGCCCGCAGCCGCTAGGGCGTAGGGCGTAGGCTATCCTGATCTGGTGGGCGCTCACACAGGTGGAGGCCAGTCCACAAGAGACCTTCCA